AGACACAGCCCCCTGAAGACACAGTCCCATCCCTGCAGACACAACCCCCTGCAGACACAGCCCCCTGTAGACACAGCCCCTTGCAGACACAGCCCCCACCCCTACAGACACAGCCCCCTGCAGACACAGTCCCCCTGCAGACACAGCCCCCTGTAGACACAGTCCCATCCCTGCAGACACAGCCTCCTGCAGACACTCCCCCACCACTGTAAACACCATCTGCCCTGCAGACATAGCATCCGCTCTCTAACAAGTCTCCCCTTACAGCTGTGCTTCTACCAGTAAGCTTTGCCCCCATGGCTGGGATGGCTCTGCTCCTCTCAAAGGCTCTTCACCCACCCCTGCAGACACTGCCCCCACACCGAGGGGTCTGGATAGGCCGAGGTGACCATGGGGAGTAGGGAGCACTGGCTGAAAGCTGCACCATGTTCTCTCCAGCTGTGCGTATAAACTGCCTTGTTCATTTATTCCGAATATTCCGGGCCATGCTTCCCCGGAGTAAGGGTTCTTGGAGCTCTTTGACCCCTTGGTGAGACACATCCTGTGCACCTCTCAGGCCTGAGAGCCATGTCCGTAATACTGGGTGGCTTCAGAGGAGGCCTTGGTGGTGTAGACATTGAGTGCTTGGCTCAGAATCCAAGGTCAGGGGTTCGAGTCCACCCAGAGGTGCCGCAGAAGAAAGGCCTCGCTCTGGCTCTGTGGCTCAGCTGCTGAGCCCCCACAGGGTACAGCCGTCAGCTGACGTCCATGTGCACACACGGGGCTCCTTCACGGGCTCACTTGGGGCTCCTTCGGAGGCTCATGCGGGGCTCCTTCACGGGCTCACACAGGCTCACGCGGGCTCCTTCAAGTGCCCACGTGTTTGTTCCTTCCCAGGCTGCTTTCAGGCTCCCCTCCAGTCAGTGTGAACATGGTGGCTGGCTTTGCTGTGTCTTTTTGTGACCTGGAAAGTCCTGTGTGACCGAGAGTGTCAGGGAGAGGAGGCTAGGGCCCAGGATGTGCATTGCATGTTTGTGGGGGTACAGGCACAGTCTGGAGCAGAACACCTCAACTTTCCACAGTATTCACTCAGCTCTGGTCCTTGTCAGATCCATCCCAGCAGCACGTGGGAAGTGAGGGCCATCACTCTGGGAGCCACAATAGATGAGGTCACTGCCCGGGGTTCAGCCCACAGAGCCACGAGACTCCGGAGATGCTGAGTGCCCCTCATTCTGCTGGGCTCCTATCCTCACCTTCCTGGGGACACCTGGGATGATGGGGTCGCAGGTGCTGCTACATCTGTCCCAAGTGGCCCTTTGGGAAAACATTCCTCCTCCTTGTAGTTCAAACGGGTAACTCCCTGGACTCTTAACCAAGAGGTCTCAGGATCGGTCACACCCAAGGCGCTCAGGAGAAAGGCCTGCCAGTCTGCTTCCTGAAGAAACGTTGCAGACCCTGGGGGCACAGTCCTGCACTGACACACTTGGGAGCGAGTCAGGAGGGATGCAGTGGCCACTGAGGGACAGGTATGGGCCAAGCTGCAGGCCCCTCCATCTGAGGGGAGTTTCCCAGGGCCACGCTGTCTGGAGGTGCTGGCCTTTAGCATCTCCATGGAGCTGGAGATGGAGACAGTCTCTTCAGCACCGGCTCTGGAACACGTGAGGTTCAGGGCCCACAAGTGGGAACATGGAGGAGCCTTGTGTTGCTGCCATTGGTGGCCGCTATACGGTACCCCCAGTACCCAAATGGGGCCGCAGCACTAATGGCCACTCTGTGTTGTGTCCACAGCCCCGTCACTTACTCTCACCAACGCCCACTGAGGTAACATTGCTCCCCGCTTCCCTGTGCCTCCCCCGTCCTGCACCAGTTATAAAGATAACAGCCAGGCTCCCAGAAGGCCCACAGCGGACTCCAGCAGGGCCCAGCTGTTCCAGCAAGCCCCACAGACCCCTCCAGGCCCACAGTGGACTCTAGCAGGGCCCACAGACCCCTCCAGGCCCCACAAAGCCCACAGCAGACTCCAGCAGGGCCAGCAGGCTGCACAATGAACCCACAGGCTCCAGCAAGTCTTAGTAGGCCCCATCAGGTCCTTTCAAGCCCCAGCAGACTCCAGCAGGTTTCATCAGGTCGCAGCAGGTCCTATCAGGCTCCAGCAGATCCCATCAGATCCCAGCAGGCCCCATCAGGTCCTAGCAGTTCCAGAAGGCCCCATCAGGATCCCGCAGGCCTGGAAGGCCCCAGCAGGCTCCAACAGGTCCTATCAGGCCCCAGAAGATCCCATCAGGATCCAGCAAGTCCCATCAGGCCCTAGCAGACCCCCACAAGCCCCTGGCTCCTGGCTGGTTATCTTTATAACCATCTCCTCTGCATGCTGCTGGTGCGAACGCCCTCAAACTCGGTCTTGCGTGCAGCCAGAGTCCAGACAGCGTTGTACTTAGAGAAGGGGTATGGGAGCTGGGACAGCCCCCCTAGTGCTCCTCCATATGGTGGGGGAGACTCTGGAATTGATCCTGTATTCCAGCATCTGTCAGCAGTCCGTTTCCAACATAAGTCAGCCATGTGGATCACTGTGACCAGACCTGACTTTCCGGTGGGGTCCAGGTGGCATAGGACAGGGCTCTTCTGCAGGAGGGACTAAGGGACAGTGGCACAGTGTCCAGGTTCTCTGGTGCTGCTACAGTAGGGATGCCACTAGTGGAAAGCTGTAACAAACAGAAATTCACTGTCTCAGTTTAGAAGACTGTTGTCATTGTTGTCGTTGTTGTTGTTAGGTGCCATCAGGTCAGCCACGACTTTCAGATCTGAACCCCGTCCTGTCCTGTGCCGTCACCCTCTCTGACACACTCGAGCCCACTGTTGCAGTCACTCTGTCAGTCCTGGCTGATGGTCTGCCTCTCCTTCACCGACCCTCCACCTTCCCAAGCACAGTGTCCCTCTCCAAGGAAGAGACTCTCCTCGTAACATGTCCAGAGTATGTGAGAGGAAGCTTTGCCGTCTGCCTCCAAAGGGCTCTCCGGCTCCACCTTCTCCGAGATATATCTGATCATCCTCTTGGCTGTCCAACCTCTCCGGCTCCACCTTCTCCATGCTATCTGATCATTCTCTTGGCGTCCATGGGATGTTCAGAGCTCTTCTCCACCACAGCTCAAAGGCGTCAATTCTTCCTCTGTCAACCTTAGTCACCATCCAGCTCTCAAGTGCATAACACGTGACTGAGAAGACCCTGGCCTGAACCAGGCACACCTTAGCCCTCAACTTGAGCAGGAGTGAAAGTCCAGGGCCGGCTCTAGGACAAGACCCCTCTGTGTGAGTTCTTCGTCTGCAGCCCCAGCGTTCTCCGGAGATCTCCACGTGTCCTGGCCTTCTCTGGTGTCCCACAGCTTCCCGGCTCAGGGGCTCACATCCAGGAGAAGCCACCCCTGGCTGTGATTTCTCAGTGGGACTGAGATCACTCTCCTGCCTTTGTTTCTTGAGAGATAAGAGATGCCACGGGTCACACCCTGGGAAGCCTCTCAGGCGTCAGGGCTGTGCTGGGAATGAGGGTGCTACCTTCCACCCCTCACCCTGTTCCAAGGACTTGACTGATTATGTCACAGGGGGCAGTCATGTAGCTTCCACACCAATCATTACACACAAACATCTGGGGATACAGTTCAGTTGTGATGCACGGCCACCGTATCAAAGGTGTGTCCTATGCGTTCAGTGACGTTCTGAGCACTTGCCTCGTGCATCCTGGAAATCTGCAATCATCCTGCTTACTCTGCCCTGTCCTGAGCCAGGCTCACTGACTCAGGCACACTTTATCCCATTACCCCAATTACCGTATAAATACCTCATCTGGGGTCTTCCTCTCCTGTGCTATCCTTCCACACTTCCAAGCATGGTGTCCTACTCAAGGACCAGTCTCGCCTGGCCACGTGCCCAAAGTATGTGAGATGGAGCTTCAAAATCCTGACCTCCAAGTAGAAACTTGGTTTCACCGCCTCAAAACAGACCTATCCGTCTTCTTGGTGGTCCATGGTATGTTCAAGACTCTTCTCTAACATCACAATTCAAAGGCATTGATTCTTCTTCCATCATCCTTAGTCATTGTCCAGCTCTCTGATGCATAGCAAGTAATTGTGAAGACCATGGCCTGGATCAGGCACACCTTAGTCTGACATCACTGTTGCTTTTCAGCACTCTGGAGAGGGCCCTGATGGCAGATTTTCCCAGTGCAATTTATCCTTTGATTCCTGACTACTGGTGCTAAGAGTGTTGATTGTGGAGCCGAGGAAGCGGAAATTGTTAACAGTTTCAATCTCTTCTCCATCTATCGTGGTGCTGCCAATTGACCCAGTGCTGAGAAACTTTCATCTTCTTGATGTTGAGCTTCAGTCCATATTGAGGAGGAGCTGTTGTGACAGAAACACCACAAGGGGGTGGCTTTACCAAACAGACATGTGCTTTCTCGTAATTGTGGTTTAGAGGTGCCATCATTGCGGACTGTGCACAACAGACCTGAGCCCCGTCCTGTCCTGTGCCATCCTCGCCAGCTCCGACACACGGGAGCCCATTGTGGTGGTCACCATGTCCATTCACCCAGCCGAGGGTCTTTCTCTCCTTTACCATCCCTCCTCCTTCCAAGCACCATGTCCCTCACTAAATAATAGCCTCTCCCAGCAACGTGGCCCAAGCATGTGAGACGAACCTTCGAAACTTTGCCATCATTGCCTCCAGGGAGCACGCCGGCTGCAGCTCCTCAGAGACAGACCCGTCTGTCTCCACAGTTAGGAGACTGGAGTCCGCATCCAGGAAGGGCGTGTTCTCTGTCAGCTCTGGGGGAAGGTCCATGTCCCTGTCAGGTCCCTGGCGATGTCCACGTGGCATCTCTCTCTTCATCTTTGCTTCTTTTCCTAACCTGATCTTTCACAGTTGAGAAGATTTGGTTTAAGACACACCTTACCCTAATGCTGCCACATCACCAAGGGGAGCTCACTCTCAAGTGGGGTCATAACCGCCAGGGGGCGAGGGAGGATTGCAGCATGTGATTTTGGGGACACAGTTCCACCCATAAAACCCCACGAGCTGTACCCTGGACTCTGGGTGCACTCAGACTGCCCACTAAGAAAGCTTTCTCCCCACAGCTCCACACACAGTTCCTTGGCCATCTCTGCGAGGTGCCAGCAGTCTTCCACTGGCTCTAGAAGGTTCTCAGCAGTGCCACAGGCACACACCACTCCTGGGTCATCTCTCTCCTTCTGGGTCCCTCCTCTCTCTCTGCTCCTGAGCCCTCTCTCTGCTCCTGGTCCCTCTCTCTCTCTGCTCCTGGTCGCGCACTCTCTCTCTCTCTCTCCACCTGGGCCCTCTCTCTCTCTCTCTGCTCCTGGGCCCTCTCTCTCTCATCCTGGGCCCTCTCTCTGCTCCTGAATCTCCTCTCTGGGTGGCCAGGCCTCATCTCCACTGTATTATTTAAGCTCTGTTGGAGGCTGTCTCCTGCCTCGCTGACACAGGAGCTCTGGTGTGTAGTTCATAGTGAGGTGTGCCGCTTACCTAAAGGTCTATGGTTCGAATACACCAGTGGCCCCATGGGAGGGAGATGGGCAGGCTCCTCCCTGTCCAACTACCCCCAGGCCTGAAGGGTGACTGTGAGCCTGTATCAACAAAGCTGCCACTAATCCTGCCTCATTCACATCACGGAGGTGAGGATTTTCAACCCAGAGGGTAATGATCCCAACATGGAGAGGGCGCTGAGGATGACCCTGAGAGCCCTGGTCTGGGCACATGTCCCTAGGACACGTTCAGTCCGAAAGGCCGCCTGCATCCCACCCCCTTGACCAGCCCTTGGTGGGGAGTCCCGTTCCAGCCCTTGGGTGGTCCCAGGAGAACCAGAACCTTCCACAGAGCCCTGCCTGGCTTCTCCAGTGCCCGCTGATGGAGCCCCTGATGGGCATGGACGGACAGCATTTCACCTCCTTGGGGTCTCATTCTGTGGGACAAACCTGAAGAGCTCAAGTTGCAGGACCCAGGGACGCTGCCACTACATGTGTGAGCGGCCAGCTGGGTCAGGCTCCTGCCTCCACAGCGCAGCCTGTGGTCTTGCATGCAGCCTCCAGGGTGTCAGAGAGGACCCTTGGGAGGTGACCCAGGCCCAGTCCAATGCAGAAGACACCCAGAGGCACAGCCAGGGGCCCATGAGCCCAAGGGAGGAGCAGGCAGGTGTGGGTGAAGCGAGGGGTGGGTGCCCAGCACGTTCAGGGACAGTTTCCAGACTGGGGACAGGCCCCCAGGGTATGAGGAAAGTCAGAGAGGCTGAGGCAGCCGTGAGCACCAGACCACAGACTGGACACTGCATGTCACTGGGCCTGTCTTGGAGCTCAGTAGGGGTCACCAGATGGTCAGACTGGCTGGTCACCTTCATGCCAGACCTGGGGCCTCACACCCCTTGTCACTTGGACTGGCCTGGGGTCCAGGAGGGGGTCACCAGTCAGAAGAGGGCCAGGCTGGATGGTCACCCTGTGCCAGCTGCCGGAGGGGTGGAAAGCCGGGCAGCTGCCCTCCCCAGGCAGTGTCTCCATCTCACGCGCCTCTGCTGCCCACCCGCTCCCCCTCCACTCCCTTTTGCGTCTCAGTGTCCATGTCTGTGTCTGTTTCCCTCGCTGTGCTTCGGGGTCAGAAGGGGTGCTCCCTCTCTGAATGTGCTTGGGGGTCCTGCAGAGCCCCCTCAGGCTGGGGAACCTCACTGCCTCTCACACTGTTCCCAGGAACCCAGCCCCTGGAGGGCTGCATGGGGTTCGAGGAGTGGGGATCCAGAAGTTTCCACCACATCCCTCAGGAAGGGTTGGGGTGTGGAGGCTCTGATCTAAGGGAGCTGGGGGGCTGACTGAGGCCAGAGGGATGACCCTAACTGCAGGTGAGCCTGGTTAGGTGTGGGCTGCCTGTGGGGCCCTTGGAGCCCCCTGGGTTGGGAGGAGGGGTGTCAGTGCCCATGTGAGGCTCATGGCTGTGTCTTCTTTGCAGGGGGACCAGGACGACCGGTCCTACAAGGCCTGCCGGACCTCCAGCCCCAGCTCCGCAGGCTCGGTCAGCCTGGGGCGCTACACCCCACCATCAAGGTCCCCGCAGCACTGCAGTCGTCCAGGTACCTGTCCTCCAAGGGCTCTGGGTGGGCACCAGGCTGCCTCTAATGTGATAGGCAGGGCTGCTATGGCCCGGGGGTGAGGACAGAGCTATAGGGTCCACAGTGGACAGCAGGGCCAGTCCAGTGAAGTGCCTTCTTGTGTGGCCAGGTAGTTAAGTAGGGGCCTAGACGGTGAGGGGTGATAGTGGACACTTGAGGCCAGAGGCAGGGAGGGTGGCTGCAGTGACAGGTGGCCGGCGTGCAAGTGGAGACTGTCTTCTGATAGGTGCACAAGGCAGGGCTGACCACTGAAGACCGAGCAGATATTTAAGGGGGAGATGAGAGACCACAGTCGGTCAGTCCTGTGGTCGGCGTAGCCCTGAGCCAGAACACAGAGTTGGCCTCTCCTTAGCAGCTCTCCCATAGTGACCACGAAGGCCACGTCTTAGTGGAGAAATGGACGAGAGCCACTCGGAGTAGGCAGGAGCCGGAGGCAGGTCCTCCCAGCCACCTCTCCCACCCCTGCCGGGCGCCAGCTCAGCCTTGCTCCTCCCGCTTTCAGATCCCTTATCCCCTAGTGTGTCAAAGCCACGCCGAGGCTGCCTTTCTGAAGGATCATCCTGAGCTGTCCCCTTGACCAGCATGTGTTTGACTGACGCCATGTTCACACTCATGGGAGAGTCAGGACCAGCTCATTTGAAATATTATTTCTCCTTATTCCCACCTTGACCCTCCTATAAGCTGCTCAATAAATGCAGGGGAATTGGAGAGAAGAGAGAACAGAAGGGGTGTGTGTGAGAGAATGGATGGGTGTGTGAGTGAATGAATGGATGGGTGTGTGAGTGAAAGGATGGATGGGTGTGTGAGTGAATGAATAGATAGGTGTGACAGTGAATAAGTGGGTGTGTGAGTGAATGGATGATGGGTGTGTGACTGAATGGGTGTGTGAGTGAATGAATGGATGGATGTGTGAGTGAGTGTATGGGTGTGTGAGTGAATGCATAAATGGGTGTTTCAGTGAATGAATGGGTGTGTGAGTGAATGAATAAATGAATGAATGGGTGTGTGAGTGAATGAATAGGTGTGTGAGTGAATGAATAGATGGGTGTGTGAGCCAATGAATAGGTGTGTGAGTGAATGAATGGGTGTGCGAGTGAATGCATGGATGGGTGTGTGAGTGAATTTAGGAATGGGTGTGTGAGTGAATGAATGAATGGGTGTTTCAGTCAATGAATGGGTGTGTGAGTGAATGAATGGATGGGTTTGTCAGTGACTGAATGGGTGTGGGAATGAATGAATTGGTGTGTGTGAATGAATGGGTGTGTCAGTGAATGGATGGGTTTGTGAGTGAATGAATAGATGGGTATGACAGTGAATGAATGGGTGTGTGAGTGAATGAATGGGTGTGACAGTGAATGAATGGATGTGTGAGTTAATGGATGGGTGTGTCAGTGAAAGAATGGGTGTCAGTGAATGAATGGGTGTGTGAGTGAACAAATGGGTGTGTGAGTGAATGGATGGGTGTGACAGTGAATGAATAGGTATGTGAGTGAATGAATGAATGGGTTTATGAGTGAATAAATGGATGGGCTTGTGAATGAATAGATGGGCGTGTGAGTGAATGAATGGGTGTGTCAGTGAGTGGATGGGTGTGTGAGCAAATGAATGGGTGTGACAGTGAATGAATGGATGTGTGAGTGAATGGATGGGTGTGTGAGCGTGTGAATGGATATATGACCCTCTGAGTGACTGTGTGCGTGAATGGATGGCTGAGTGGGTATATGAATGAGTAAAGAGTTGAGTGACTGTATGAGTTCTTGTGCCTCGATTCAGAACTGACCCCTCACTGACCCTCCGGTGGGTTTTCTGAGGCGGTCAACTGCACGGGAGGAGACTGCCCGTTTTTCTCCCATGGAGCAGCTCGTGGATTTGAACCAGGAGCCTTTGAGATTGCAGCCCAACTTCTGACCATTAGTAAGAGAATGAGTCCACGAGGGAGGGAGGGAGCCCATGAGAAGACTGGTGAACGCTCGGACTGATGAGTTGACGAGGGTCTGAGCAAACGGGTGAGAGTGCGGATAAGTGAGTGACTGAGTGGGGCAGCGAGCGAGTGAACGAGTCACCGAGTGAATAAGTGGGTGGGTGAGTGGATGAGGCCCGTGAGCTGACGAGGGAGTGTGTGATGATAAAAGAGCAGCTGCAGCGGTGTGTGTGAGGGAGGGAGGGGCCGACGGACGAGTGCGTGCGTGCTGAGTGAGTAAACGAGTGAGTTAGGGAGCACATAGATGAGATGAGGGAGCGAGGGGCGCGCGGGTCGAATGATGAGTCATGGGGATGGATGGTGCGTGGGGACTGAGCGTGTGAGATGGTCAGTGAGTGAAGAATGCGTGGACCGAATGATGAGTGCGTGATGAGCGGTCAGTAAGTGAATGAGTACGTGACGAGTGAGCGGTGCGTGGATGAGCAGGTAGATGGTTGGTGAGTTGACCACCAGTGTCCCTGCACTGTCCGTTGGTCCTTTGATGTGCTGGCCAGAGCACTTAGATGCTGCAGCTGGCCCCTAAGTAGCCCCAGAGAGCCAAGGCTTGGATCTCAGCTGGCCTCTTAAGATCCCAATGAGAGTGCTGGACAGGGTGTGGGGGAGCCACCCCGACCCTGGACCCTAACAGGCCTGCGGCTGCCCCCGCCCTCCTCCCAGGCCAGCGGGCCCTCCTCCACACCTGCAGCAATGGTATCATGGTCCACAGCACATCGGGTGGCCCTGGAGGTGCTGCAGAAAGGCGTGCATCCCTCAGAGAGGAAGGAAAATGTTCCTAGCGGCCTGGGACTGGGAATATTTTGTGGCTTTGTGGCCCCGAGCCCGCGTTGACGCTGATCTGCTCTCTGTTGCCCGCAGCTGGTACTGCGGGTGTTGGTACCAGCAGCTGCCTCTCCCTGTCCCAACACCCAAGCCCTACCTCCGTTTTCCGACACCATTACATGCCCTACTTCCGAGGTAAGGCTCCAGGGCTGGGACGTGAGTGTCCGTCTCGTGTGGCCACTGTCCAGTGTCTCGCATGGCTTCCGGCCTGTGCCCCGTGCCCTGCACCCTCGCTGTGTGCATCTTGTCTGTCTGACTCCGTTGCTCTTGGTCTCTCCGTGTTCTAGAAGGAAGCTACAGGTCACGTGCAGTGTCAGGGAGCAAACAAATGTACAGGCTGGGTCTGGGCAGCAGCAGGGACAGGGGACTGGACCGTGGACCACAGCTGGCTCTGGCCGAGGTGCTGTCCCTGTGTCATTGCTGTTATATGTCACCTGGTGAGGACTTCGGGGTCAGGAAGAAGCTGAAGCAGAAAGAGGAGAGTGACCTGGCTGGGTACCAGGGCTCAGGGTCTCAGGGAGGGACCACTCCTCCAGCTGACATGGACTGGACAGGGCCCCCAGGTGTGTGTCCCTCAGCTGGGCCGGGGCTCTCAGGATTATGTAGTTCTCTTCCATTTTTCGGTGATCCTAATGCAGTTATGCAGTTATCCGTGTGCTGTAAATCCTCATCTCAAGGAAGGGACGCCATCCTTGGGAAGGGTGGAGGGTCAGCGAGAGGGGACCCCATCGAGATGTACTGACGAGGCGGCTGCTGCAGTGGGTGTGTCACAGGTGAGGATGGCGCAGGACGGGGTGCAGGTCAGCTGTTCACAGGGTCGCTGTGCCTCCTACACGATGTCACCCAACCACAACCACCATGGTCTTAGTCACGGGAGCTCCAGTGGCCTCGTGGGAAGAAGCTGTGCTCCCACCCCAGAAGCACACAGTTTGAATCCACCAGCTGCTCCCTGGAGAAGGATGGGCAGCGTCCTGTGTGATCGCCTCTGAAAACCCGCGGGACGGTCAGGGCTGAGTCGGTTCCAGCTCGATGGAGCACAACAATAGCAACCAGCACGCGGTGTGAAGGAGGCGGGAAGCCATTGGCACGGTTAGGTTCCATCACGCCAGCCTCTTAGGGATCCCGAAGAGATTCAACACGTGGGAGGGCCTTGTTCACCTACCTCCTCCAGCGAGAGGGAAGAGCCAGGAGCAGAGTGGTGCCGCCTCTGGACCCAGGTCCCTGCGTACAGACCCAGGGAGACTGATGTCAAGGAACGCCAGCCAGGCATGGAGATGTGGGAAGGAGAAACGGCCTTCCCCGAGAGCTACACAGAGACAAAGCCTCTTCCTAGCTGGGGCCCTGAATTTGGGCTTCCCACAACCTACACGCGAGAAGTCTCTGTTAAACACACCTGCCTGAGATGCTTCTGTTGCTGCTGCCTGAATAGGCAGGGCACAGACCTCCCAAGACCCCTCCTTCCCTATGACTGTGCGCATGTACCCAAGAGAACCCAAGAGATTTCACCCAAGAGATTGGCGTGTGGACCCCTGGGGGAAGGTACTCAGAGTGTCTGCAGAAGCAGGGTCACGAGCTGACCACTCCCAGGGGGTTGTGAGCCCCATTTCTGACAGCTACTGTGTGGGGAGCATCACCAGCAGGCCCTCCCCCAGGGGGGCCAGCACTCGTGTGATCTCTCCTGCCCATCTCATGTGCTCGTGGTCACCTGCCTGGACTGGACAGCAGCCTCAGATAGATGGAGATGTGGGTGACTTCATTTTACTGGATCCACAGTCAACACCCACGATAACTAATCAAGAAAAGACGTGCTGCCCCTGGGGACATCTGCTGCCAACGGCCTCTCCAAAGAGCTGAAGAGCAAGGAGGTCACTTGGAAGACTAAGCTGCTCCTGACCCACGCCGTGCCTTCTCAGCTGCCCCAATGGCGTGTGGAAGCTGGACAATGAGGGAGGAAGACTTAACGAGGAAGAATCGATAATGTTGGCAGAGAATACTGAATATACTGTGATGGCTAGTGGTAAGGAACTGTGCTGCAGCCTCCAAGGCACGTGGTTCAAATCCACCAGCCGGTCTTCAGCAGGAAGATGGGCCGTCTCCTCCTGTGTGATTAGCTGCCTCTGAAAACGTGCTGGAGGGTCAGCTAGGGGCTGGTTTTGACTCGATGGTACACAACAGAAACAAGCCAGAGGGATGAGCAAATCTGTGTTGGAATAAATTCAGGCCACGTGCACCTCACAGGTGGGGAAGGTGAAGCTCCGTGTGACATTCCCTGGACATGTGACCAGGAGGGGTCAGCTCCCAGGGAAGGACACGGTGCTTGGAAAAGTAGAGGGTTAGTGAAGAAGAGGGCCCTCAAGGAGATGGACACTGTGGAATGGACTCAACAGATCCGCAGGACGGTGTGCACCGGGTAATGTGACCACGGGTCAGAGCCGACCAGGAACCACAGTCTCTTGCCTCAAGAGGCCCATCCTGTTGCTGAGACGAGTTCCCAGCCCGAACCTGGACGTCCTCGCTTCCCTGTGGTCAGCTCCACAGCTCCTGTCCTCCTGGGCAGGTTAGAACATCTCGGGGGGCGGCTGTGAGGCGCCCCTTGGACTGCCTTCCCGCCCTCCTGCCTACTAGCCAGTGTGGTCCTGGGACGTCCACTGCCACAGCTGCAGGCCCTGCTCTCCACTCTTTAGTCCTCACCTCTCCCTGGTGAGAGGAGGCAGGCTGAGCCCGCATCCCAGGACAGGACCCCCTGGCCCAACCCCTCAGAGGAACTGCCTGGTCATAGTTATAGGGTGAGGAGAACAGGCAGACAGGCACCCCTGAGCTACACAGCGTCTCATTGTCCCCCCGTGGGCTGCAAGCCAAGTCCTCCCTGATCTCTCTAGGGGTGCACAGGTCTAAGTGCCCACACCCCAGCCCTTGAGGCCCCCTGCCCATTTTCTTGTCCCCCTCCCCAGCTCTGGTAGTCCCTGGTGTGAGGCCCAAAGGGTCACTCTGGTGTCCTGTGGCCTCTAGCTTTGACTGTGGTGTTTGCAAGGCAAGAGTGGCCCTTTGCCCCTCAGCAAGCTGTCACCTGACCCCAAGGCTTCCAAGGACATGGGGAGGGTGTGTGATGTGTCCCTCATCAGACCTGTGCTGTTGTCCAGTATCCCGTGCCCATCACGTCTGTCCACTGTGGCCCCCATGTCAGCATCAGAGCCCTTTCCCTGTGGTCAGAAGCTGTCCCACCTGATGATCATTCTCGTGTCCTGGGAAGGAGACGTTTCAGATGTGGGGTCAGCATGGGGGAGAGGGTGCCACCACAGCTAGGGACACCCCCACTTAGTGTGCCAAGAGCCAGGGCACTTCTGAGGGGCTGGGCACTCACCTCTTATTCATCTGGAGCCGGTGGGGTTTCTGGGGGGCTTCTTAGGGGTGTGAGAGGCTGGGGCACTCACCTCTCATTCACCCAGAGCTGGTGGGGTTTCAGGGAGGCTCTGAAGGACAGGTGGAACACTCACCTCTTATTCACCCAGAGTTGGTGGGGTTTCTGGGGGGCTTCTTAGGGGTGCGAGGCTGGGGCACTCACCTCTTTTTATCTGGAGCTGGTGGGGTTTCTGGGGGGCTCTGAAGGGTGGGTGGCACTTGGTATCTGAGCTATAATCTTATTCTCCGTGAGAAGCAGCATCTAAGAGGGGGTGGGGAAGGGGTCACCTGTTTGTGCCAACAGTCGAGCCCACCGGGAGATGCCTCAGAAGCAAGGCCTGATGATCCATTCCCAAAGCCCTGGTGGTTGGGGGCCTGAAGGACGTGAGCCTCGGGAGGGGGTCTGACAGGCGAGCACCCCAGGACAGGGCCTGATGGGCATGTGCCCTGGGGTGGGGGCCTGACAGGTGTGTGCCCTGGGACAGGCACACAACCAGAGACCCCTGGCCCCCCTCCAGTGACCAAGGCCCCAGCTAAATGTGTGTCCTGTAGTCATGAAAAGGCTGTGGACACAGGCACAGGATGAGCAGGTAGAGGGTCTAGGTGGATCAACAGGCAGGAGGGTCTGGGCCCCGTTGGATGAGCAGGTTAGGAGTCTGTGCTCAGGTGAGTCAGCAGGTAGAGGGTCTGAGCTCAGATGGGTCAGCAGGTAAAGGATCTGGGATCCACTGGGTCAGTGTGGGGCGGTGTCTGAACTCAGGTGAGTCAGCAGGTAGAGGGTCTGAACTCAGGTGGATCAGGAGGAGAAGGTCTGGCCCCGCTGGGTCAGTGGGGCGGTGTCTGAACTCAGGTGGGTCAGCAGATGGGGGTCTGGGCAAGTGGAGGTCAGCGGGGTGCTTGAGGTGTTCTCGTTTTCCCTTCCCTGCCCGCTGTCCCCTCGGTGTCTGGAGGTAGTGAAAGCGGCCGCAGCACGCCCAGCCTCTCCATGCTCTCGGACAGCCGGCCTCCTCCCTCCACCTACCAGCAGGCCCCGCGCCATTTCCACGTCCCAGGTAGGTGCGTGCGCCCCGTTACACCGGTCTGCACCATCTGGTGTGGTCTTGACCCCCAGATGAAGCTCACATTGTACCTGCAAGGCCTCTCACCCCTTAACAACATTCATGGGTTTGCATGCTCACCCCAGAAAGCCGGAGGCTGGGATCCCATCTCCCACTCCCCCACCCCCCACCCCATACTCTCCCACCTCCCATTCCCCCATCTCCCCCCCACTCTCGCCCTACTCCAGCCCCTCCCACCCCAGGGAGCCTCGGGGAACAGGCTGCAGAGAAGCTGTCTCGATGGGCTGACTTTCTGGGGGTCCCCTGGTTCTTGCTTGCTGCCCCTCTGGCTGCCTGTCCCCTTCCATTCAGAGGCCCCGAGGGAGGTGGAGAGTCCAACTTGGGGGACTGCTTGATGTGTGCGGGGCTGGGGCCTGGCGGGCAGGGGAGAGAGGGACACTGGGACCTCTGCTTGCTCCTCACCTGCTCTCTTCTGCCCTGTGTTTCTTTCCCCCAGACACTGGCGTCAAGGATAACATCTACAGGAAGCCCCCAATCTACAAGCAGCATGGTAGGTGGGACCCTGCTGCTGTGTGCACAGGGCATCCTGGGGCGGGCGGCGCTGAGGCCTGGACAGTGGTGGGGGTCGCAAGCTCCCTGCTCCTGGGGCAATCAGTACACTGAGGCCTGGGCAGCGGCGGGGGCGGGGTCCTGGGAGGGGCGGGCATGGAGCCCATCCTCAGCTGGTAGAATTTCTAAAAATTTATGTCCACACCTTAATCCTCTTCCGAGAGGCTGATTTAGGGGCTGCCCAGGAAAGCAGTGTCTCTATATGAAAGGAATCCTCGTGGGAGGCAAAGGGGTAGCGCCCAGCTGCTTCAAGTACACTCAGAGGTATCACAGAAGAAAGGACTGGCAACTGTCAGCTTCCAGGGCTCCCGGCGCAGCAGAGGCATGCGGTGCGGTGCTGCTCAGCACAGAGTGGCCGTGGGGGTCAAGGAAGGTTTCAAGACAGCGAAGGTTTGAGGAGAGGTGTCTCTGCATAAGTCATGGTGTCAGGGAGTCCTTGGTGAGGGTCTCAGGCCCAGGCCTCCATATGTTGGAACCCCAGTGGGGAGCTCCTGGGGGTGGGGCCTGCTGGTAGGGTGCTGTCTGTGCTGTGCTGAAGGGAGTGTCCAGGCAGCCCCGGCTGAGGTGGTGAGGACAGAGTCTCCCAGGCTGCAGCCTGCCCCAGGCCTGGCCTCAGGGACAAACCCAGCTGACAGATTGTATGGGATACGTGCAGAGATGGGTTTAACCTGTGGAAAGCCATGCACAGGGGGCATTGTGACCGGGGCCCTGGAGAGGAGGTGACCAGGTGTGTTGTGGTCGGGGCCCCGGAGAGGTGGAGACCAGGTGCATTGTGACTGGGGCCCTAGAGAGGAGATGACCAGGTGCATTGTGACTGGGGCTCTAGAGAGGAGGTGACCAGGTGCGTTGTGACCAGGGCTCTGGAGAGGTGGAGACGAGATGTGATACCTGCAGCCACTTCCTGTGGCGTCCCCCGAGGGCCACTGGAGAGAGCTCTGTGAATTGCCCACAGTTCATGAACAGGACAGGCAAACCAGCCTCCTCTGTGCCCCCTGGTCACTATCTACCCTGCATCTGAGGGTGTCTCTGCCCTGGTGGCACAATGTTTAGAGTACTAGCTGAAAGGTTGTCAGCTGGACCTCCAGTGGCTCCTCCGGAATGAACGAGGTAGTCAGTGTCCATGGAGTTGGCCTTGGAAGGGCTCAGGAGTGGGTCTGCTCTGTGCTGCAGGTGCCGGGGTCAGAAGTGACGGCATAGCAGAGGGGCTGGTTTGTGTCTCAAGACATAAAACATGGAACGATCCCTCAGACTCCAAATGGTGACCCCGTCTCACCTAGTGATGTTAGAGCAGTACCCTCCCCCATATCTGCTGGGGGACTAGTTAGGCTCCTAGGAGGCTGGAGGGGGTCCCTGTGCCCTAGTGGGGAACAGAGGTCAGCCTAAGGGGACAGCATGCTAGGTGGCCGTGTCCCCTAGTGGTGCTCCTGTGACACCCTACAGAGCATGGTCTCGGTGCATCCCTCCTGGGACAATGTGACCCCTTCTCCACACACACCCACGTCTGAGCCAGCCTCCACCCGTGTGATGAATGCTCCCAGCTGTGGAAGGTCAGCCTCCAGTGAGGGGGGACAATAGAGCTGATTAGGATGCTGCCCCTGGACATCTTACCGAGCAGATCCAGCAGGGAAGGGCTTCCAGCTTATGTCCTTTAACAGAATCGGCCAGGAGATTATACCATGGATGATCTGTGACACATTTTAATCTGGGTATAAATCACTCTCCAGCCAGTGGCTGACCCTGAACAATTACTAAAATCCTGGGTCATTTCAAAGCCTGGCAGCACTGACTCTTTTATGAAACAGGTATGTACACAGCCTGCTCTCTGCCAAGCACATGTGTTCTGGGGTACAGACACCTAAGCTCCATCCACCTTCCTTGCATACATGCTGAGAGGTGGGACTGTGTGTCCAAGACATTAGACGTGGATAGTCTTTTAAGGGTGTATACGTGTGTTTGTGTGGGCTTCTGTGCACCTGGGTGTTCATAGTGCCTTATATTCAGAAGTATATGCACATGTGTGTGTATAAGGATGTACTATGGACATTCATGTGACAGTGCACACACATGTGTGTGAGAGAATACCAAGTATGATCATGTGTGCACATGTACACACATGAGAGCACACCACACATAATCACATGTACCAGTGCACATACATGTGTGAGAGAGCACACCTCGTGTGTCATGTGTGCACATTTACACACGTGTGAGAGCACATCACATATGATCATATGTGCACATGTACACACATTTGTAAGGGAACACCATGTATGATCACATGTGTGTACATACATGCGATGACACACCACACATGAACATGTTTGCATATGTACACACGTGTGTGAGCACACCATGTATGATCACATGTGCACATCTACACACATGTGAGAGAGCACACCACATGCGATCATGTGTGTACCTGTACACACATCTGTAAGAGTGCACCTTGTATGGTTGCTGTGTGTGTACACATGCACGAGGGCACACAGGCATGATCACATATGCTTGTATACACACGTGTATTATCCCATGTGCATGTACATGTGTGTGAGACACACATGTATGATTGTGAGAACACACCAGATGTGATCATGTGGGTGTAACGTGTATTAGAGGATACCATGTATGATCATTGTGCATATGTGTGCACACGTGTATCAGAGCACACCACGTATTATCACATTTGCACACACATGTATGCAAGTGCACCAGATATGACCATGTGTGTGCATGTACACACATGTGCATGAGAGCACACCGGGTATGATCACGTGCACACACGTATCAGAGTGCATCATGCATGCACATGTGTCTATCAGAGCACACCAGGTGTGATCATGTGTGCACACATGTGTATCAGAGCACACCAGGTATGGTCACATGTGAACATATACACACATGTGTGAGAGAGCACAGCAGGTATGATCATGTGCACACAGGTGTGTATCAGAGTGCATCATGCATGCACATGTGTCTATCAGAGCACACCAGGTGTGATCATGTGTGCACACATGTGTATCAGAGCACACCAGGTGTGGTCACATGTGAACATATACACACATGTGTGAGAGAGCACAGCAGGTATGATCATGTGCACACAGGTGTGTATCAGAGTGCATCATGCATGTTCACATGTGCACATGTGTGTATGAGAGTGTGTCACATATGATCATGTGTGCATATGTACACATTTGTATATCAGAGTGCACCGTGAATGATCATGTGTGCACATGCATACACACGTGTACGAGAGAGCCCCACATATGATCATGTGTTTGCACATGTGTGTGGAATGTGCATACCTGGATGTGTGTATATCCTGCACACTTGCATGTCTACATATGTGTATCTGTCTCCAGGTCTGCCCACATGAGCCCAGCTGCCTCTCAGCAAGCTTCCCAGTGGTCATCTCTGAGCAATGTTAGGATCACAATCTGTCCTTTTTCCTGAAACAGACACAGACCATGATAGGAAGTTGTCTAAGAGCGAAAATATCCTTATTAGCTAATGCATTTGCCACTTTTTACTTTTTAACTCACTGAAAATTAGTTTGAAAGTCAGAGGACCCTTTTCTGCTGAGTAGGTGAGTGGCTGGGTGAATGTATAGATGTGGGTGGAAGATAGAGGGAGTGGGGGAATGACAGTGTGGGTGAGTGCATAGGTGAGTGCATAGGTGAGTGCATAGGTGGATGATTGAGTGGATGGGGATGTTAAGTGGATGGGGATAGATGGATGATGGATAAATGGATGGATTGATGATGGATGGGTGGGTGGATGGATGGATGAAAGGTGGGGGTGGATGGATGGTAGATGGATGGCTGGGTGGGTGGATGTATGTATGGATGGATGGACAGATGGATGGTAGATGGATGGCTGGGTTGGTAAATGGGTGGCTGTCTGGGAGAATGGGTGGATGGATCGAAGGATGGATGGATGGATTGATGGATGGATGGATGGATGGATGGATGGATGGATGGATGGATGGACGGACGGATTGGTAAATGGGTGGCTGGCTGGGAGAATGGATGGGTGGATGGATGGATGGATGGTAGGTGGGGTGGATGGATGAATGGGGAGACAATGAACTGGTCGATGTGTGGATGGATAGATGATATGTGGGGTGTATGGTTGGACAGATGGGGATGTATGGGTGGGTGGGTGGATGATGCGTGGGTTATGATAGATAGTTGAGTGGATGGGTGAATGGATAGATGTAAATGGATGATAAGTGGGGTGGAAAGATGAATAGATGAGTGGTGGATGGGTGGATAAGTAGATGATAGTTGAGGGGTATGGATGGAATGTAAGTGGATGTGTGGGTGGGTATATGGATTGAGGGGAGTATGGGTTGATAGTTAGAAGAACAGATGTATGGAAAGACAGTGGAAGGAGTGGTGAGAGCCGGCGTAAGAACTGTGGGTCAAGGTCCACATGGACACGTAGATGTTCCAGGATAAGGGAACAGAAAGTTGGCCTGACGGGAAAAGGGCAGGCGGGCAAGCTCTGTTTCCAAGAAGAAATCAGATTTGCCTGAGATATTTCCAAGTAGTGATTCCCTGAGGCTTAGAAGGAGCCGTCTCCTCTGGTCAGCTGCACCCCCAGCAGCTGGCCACAGGCAGCCTAGAAACCAGCCTGGGCTCCCTTTCTGCTCTCACACACGTCACCTCACTCAAGCCTCTCAACTAGGGCGGGTGAGGCCTCATCCGCCCATTTTACAGGTTAGGAAACTGAGGCTTAGTCGCGTCAAGGTGCCAGCTTTCTGCACAGGCATGTTCTAGAGAAGCGGACGCGGTCTGCAGGCTGCCAGCGTCCTTGTTTGTGTATGTTGTCCTGTGCCTCCCACTAGGACAGTCTGGCCGAATACCCCTCTTCTTTGCTGTGGGCTGTGCTATGGACCCTCGTTGTCGTGTACTGTTGAGTCAGAGCTGACCCACAGCAGACCCTCCGGTGGGTTTTCAAGGCAGTTAATCACATGGGAGGAGACTGCCCATTCTTCTCCTGTGGAGCAGCTGGTGACCTCAAACCGCCTGCCTTCGGGATCACAGCACAGCTTCTTGAGGCATCTCCATTCCAACAAGCAGTCCTTGAATCCAGGGTGATCAGTGGGTCCCCTGGAAACACAAGTCCCCAAAAGCCGACACGTGGAGCTGCCCGCCCTGGTGATGCTGTTGTGTGCCTGACCCCACCCTGGGACTTTGTAGGAAGGAGGTTCATTTACTTCTCCAATACACGCTGGCCCCGGGGGGTCTGCGGCCCTGAGACCCCACGCAGCTGCTGACCCTATGACCTCTGAGCCCCAGCTGATGCACAGCCACACAGTTCTCAAGGACTGCCCAGTGGCCACTGACTGCCTGTACACTTGTCCCTTGAGCCCCCGTCTACCCTGTTTTCCCTGTGGACTGCCGTCACCATGGGCTGCATGACCGTGTACCCTAAAAATCAGCCGTCACCTAGAGAAGGAATTCAGCAGCCAGTGGGTGAAGTGCAGTGTCTGTCCCACTGCCCGCCACTCAGTCTTCTGTTCTGGCCTTTGCCAAAGTCCAGTAGCCCAGTCTCAAGTTTCCAAGCTCTTGGGCCTGGTGTCCACTTTGTCCTGGGTGGTGTAGGAGGAAGAGGGCTCAAAATGACTGAGAGGGCTCAGCCCTGCACCCACTGCAGGTATGACTCCCACGTCAGGACTGCAGGGGGCCCTGGCACTTCGGAGGGATGATGGTGTCCACGTACTTGACAAGTGCATGGTGCTGGCCATCTTGTTGGGGGTGCACAGGATGGGGCTCCGGGGTCCCAGGGACACCAAGGAAGCTGGGCCTCCCCTTCAGTGCCGTGTCTCTCATTGGAAAGAGTATCTTCCCCACCTCACACACACAGACAGCGAGCATCGAGCCAGCTCCTCCGCTCTGGAGCGGGTCCTCGGTGGACACGGGTCCTCGGTGGACACTTGTCCTTGGTGGACACACACTCGCTGGCTCCCCTTCCCGGGCAGGTGTTTAGCTTTCCCTGGGGAATCATGCGGGCACCACGGTATGTGGGATTTGTGTTCTGTAGGTGACCAGCCGTGAGGTGTGGCCAGGAGAGGGAGGATTTCAGAGTCAGACATCCTGGTGGAAAGCCAGCCACCAGGACTCTCCACCTTGAGAAGCCCTTGCCTCTCTGACCCTCAGTCTCCTGTGTGACATGGTCCAGTGGAGTCTGGCAAGTGCCTGAGAGCCCAGGTCTAAGGAACAGGGGCTCCATGCCATGTCCAGTAGAGTCTGGCAAGTGCCTGAGAGCCCGGGCCTGAGGAGCAGGGACGTCCACGCCATGGTGTTAAACCCTGAAGGGGGATGGGATCCTTAACAAAACGTGAGCTCATGGGACAGTGTTTCTCGGGGGCTTGGGTGCGTTTTGCTGAGGTTCCGTTGGGCACCCCTCTGCCCATCTGTGTTTGATCTGAGGAGGGGTCTGGGTGCACAGCGTCCCTCCCCTGTGCGAGCTTCCCCAGGGAGAGAATTTCTGCAGCGACCCGAGTCCTCCAGTCCTACAGACCTGTCTGCTGCCCTCTCTGGCTAATCTTGGGCTTCAGGGCACATTGGAAAGTGGGGTCTGGGATGTGCACGTGAGGCTGGACACACGGGTGCTCCTATTACACTCGATTTCTCCCTTCCAGCGGCCAGGCGACTGGACAGCGAGGATGGAGGCTTTGACCAGGACAACAGGAAGGTAGGGGGAAGGGTGGACTTGTGGGGACATGGCCCAGTCCAGGAGGAAAGAGGGCGGTGCCTCTGCCCCTAAGCTTCCAGCTCTGACCCCTGGGACCTGCTCCTCAAGGGCCTCGTGGCCAGCAGAGTGGAGGACGCTCTTTGGGGGACATAACTGCAGTCTCGCTTGCAGACGATGTCAGAGCATTAGCTTTGGGTCAGGAGGTGCCTGATGTGCCACCACGGAGATTTCTGCACAGAGAGAGAGGCATCCAGACAATCGTTCCAGAGCCAGGGAGACTGGCCACTTTTGGAGGCCACTGCCTATGTGTCAGGCTAGAGCTGTGCCCCTCAGGGCTGCCAGGACAGACTTCAGGGAGGAGGTCACCAGGCCTTTGTTCCTGGTTTTAGCCTGGGAGCTCAGACTAAACTGGGTCAGTGTCACAGGAGCCTCCCCTGACAGTGAACTGGTCCACCCGAAGGAGAAAGATGAGATTGTACCCTGAGCTGGCCTGCTTTCATTTAACAGCGACCCTCGCCTGGCCCCGCCCTCGCCTGGCCCCGCCCTCATCTGGCCCTCGGGCTATCTTGTGGTTAGAGCACAACTGACCCTCCAGGGTGTCCAGGGGCTGATTCAGAACAGACTGCCAGGTCTTTCTTCCAAGGCACCCCTGAGTGGCCACAGACCTTCGACCTTCCAGCGAGTGGCCAAGTGGTGCCCTGCTGCAGCATGCCTGCACTGTGATGGGGCAGGGTGCATCTCCCCCTGTGAGACCAAACCCCAAAGCCGTGCCGGTGAGCAGACTCAGGTCACGGCATCCCTGCAGGACAGCGCAGAACTGCCTCCAGGTCACCCAGGCGGTGAGTCTGTGGGGCACACGGCCTCAGCCTTCTGGGTAACGACTGGTGGATTCAAACTGCCCACCTTGAGGATCACAGCCCTGCATTTTAACCAGATGGTGCCTGTGTTACACGGCACCCTGAAGCTGCTCGTCTCGGCAGAGGACAGTTCCTGTGTGTCCATAACGCTTGGGTCACAGCACCGATGGTGGGGCGCCCCTCCCCACTTCAGCACCCTAAGGGGAATCCCTCTCGTCCACGCGGGAGATCTGGCCTTGATTCTCAGCTTCACGTGCAGTCACCTGCTGTCTGACGTGTGATTGATGCTGAACATCTGCGGGTCTTCCAGACTCAGGCAGACCAGGAAGAAAGGTCTGGCGATCCGTGTCCACTGAACCGCCCGTGGAAGCTTGTGGATCACTGTAGTCTGATCCACAGCTGATGGGGCTGCCTCAGGGCGGGCAGCATCGCTCCTGTTACCTGTGGGGCCAGCACGCTGGCCTCTAGCACAGACGGCTTAGCGCCCAGGCCTGCCTGAGGGCTGTTGAAGTAGGCGGGGCTGTGCAGGCAGAGGGCTGGCATTACTGTTCTCCTCTGAGAGGTTTTGGGATCCTTGGTGCCCTGAACCTCAGCTCCCTCTATGAAACATGGTGACCCTGTGTCCCCTGATTCCTGTGTCCGGCCACTCCAGGAGCCGAACACTTGGGCTTTCCCATGCGGGTTCAGGGGTCACTGCAGATTGGAGTGGCCAGCGGCTGAAGGGGGCTGACCGCATGTTTCCTCCCATGCCTTTTGTCCTCAGAAGACCAACTGGCTGTTCCTAAAGGGAGATGCGGACACCAGGACGAACTCCCCGGACCTGGACAGCCAGTCCTTGTCCTACAGCAGTGGGATGGAGCGGGACCCCCTCCAGAGGATGGCCGGCGATGCCTTCTGCCCGCGTGAGTGGTTCTTTTGAGCATGGAGCCCCTGGGGGCACAGTCACGGCCTCTGACTCCCGGCTGACCCCAGAACTTCAGCCTCCTAGCTGGAAAACAGAGCCAGCCCATGGACAGGGTAATCCCAACGTGCACAAAGGCCTGCGAGTGACCTTGGCTTGTAGGCCCCTGCCTGGTGTCCCTGTGTGCCCCCTTGTCAGTCCTGGGGCTGAGGGGAAAGGGCTGCCTCCAGAATCTTCTAGAAAATGCCCTCCCCCAGGCTTCCATGTACAGCCCCCTCCCCAGGACACAGCCCAAGCGTGGCCCAGGGACAAGGCCAGACTTGGTGAGGAGGGCACAGTGCAGCCCTGCCCTCCCCAGCCTCCCGGGCTGGGGACGCAGTGTGGCCTCTGCCAGGCTCCTGGGTGTTGTGAAGACGGCAGTGGGCCTGGCTGTCAGATGTAAAACAGACGTCCAGATGTTCCTGTAGTCGGTAGGGTAGCAAGGCCACAGGCTTGCTTGGTGCGCTTCAGATGGGGACGTGGGCTCTCAGCTGGGGGGGGGGCACGTCCTGTGACCTGAGGCTTAGTGGACAGTAGCGACTGGAAGGGGCAAACGTGGCATGAGAAAGCGGAGGGAAGAAGGTTATGCAGTGAGACAGCTCCACACTGACCATCGCCATCGATGGCTGGGGCGAGGGGACGCTGTGGTCTGGTGGGTTGTTAGTGACTCAGCGATGGCACCATCCCTGCGCACTGGTGCCCCGCCCGGCCAGCAGCCACTGCTCAGCACACAGCACTCACATCACCACCCTCCCCTGTCAGCACCTGCTCTCTCTCTGTGACTTGTTTGCAAAATAACAGGAAATGTGAAGTTGTGCGTGGCTTGTGTTCACTCTGTAAGGTGCCTGGTCGCCGTGATGCCTCTGATTGCTGGGGTCCCAGGTTGGGGATCTCAGAGCTGAGCACCTGGTCACACCAAAACCAACACTAAGGGGCTGTCCACAAGGGGGCAAGCCCTGGGCATGGGGCATGGAGTGTAGGATACTGTCCTCCAGCAGATGTGACTGGGGTTGCAGGACACTCGCTGGACCTCACTACGGCCTGTGACTTCCAGGTGGCCAGTGGGCTCTGAGGAGGGAAGGCTGGGCTCTCTGGAGTCCTGGGGTCCACCTGCCTACTGGCTGAAAGGCTGGCAGTGCAGACGTGCCCAGCTATGTGCAGGAGGAAGACGGTGGCCTGATTCCAACAGGGTGATCACCTTGAACAGCGCGGCGGTGGGGAGGGCAGCTCATCTCTGTCCTTCAAAGTCACCAGGAATGGGAATGGACTAATGCACTTAGAACAGCAGCATTGTCCGGCCCTGGAGTCTTATCATTGAGGACAAAGCTCCTGGGCAATGAGTGTCGAGGGCCCCATCTACCCTGCTGGCCAGTGGGTGGGGCCTCTCTACAGGCTGGTGTTGCACCCACGCCTGCCCCTGGACCCTTCAGGGAGGCTGGCTGACACCAGGACTCCCGTTCGGCCTGCTTGTACTCAGGGCTAAGGAGCTGGGTCCAGTGGGGGAGGACCAGGCTGGAGGTGGGCCAGGGGACCTGCCTGTCTCTGTGTGCCTGGCCTCTGCTGTGGTCTTCACCTCAACTGCTCAACTGCCATCTAGATCCAACAGGGGCTGACCTGGGGTAGGGGACCAAAGCTGTGTCATAGAGTTTCTTGGCCAGTTACACACCTCAAGGACTTGTGTGTTAGCACCATCTTGGCTGCAGGTGGGTAGCTGAGCCCATGTTGCATAGGTGGGCCCATGTGCGTAGGTGGGCATGTGCACATAGGTAGGCATGTGGACACAGGTGAACAGATGAGTATAGGTGGGCAGGTGAGCACCGATGATGTGGACATGGGAGCACAGGTGGGCAGGTGAGCACAGGTGGACATGGGAGCACAGGTGAGCAGGTGAACACAGGTAGACATGGGAGCACAGGTGGGCAGGGGAGCACAGGTGAGCAGGTGACACAGGTGGGCAGGTGAACACAGGTGAGCAGGTGAGCACAGGTGGACATGGGAGCACAGGTGAGCAGGTGAGCACAGGTAGGCAGGGGAGCACGGGTAGACAGATGAACACAGGTGGGTAGCTGAGCCCATGTTGCATAGGTGGGTCCATGTGCGTAGGTGGGCATGGGCACACAGGTAGGCATGTGGACACAGGTGCGCACAGGTAGACATGGGAGCACAGGTGAGCAGGTGAGCACAGGTGGGCAGGGGAGCACAGGTAGACAGATAAACACAGATGGGTAGGTGAGCACACGAAGGCAGGGGAGCACAAGTGTGGAGAGCTGGACCCCTGAGCACAGGTGGACACCCTGGCTGGGTATGTGGGCACTTTCAGAGGTGTGTGGCCTGCTCGTTGGAATCCGCAGTCTCAAAGTGAACACCCCCGACGCACACACATCAGGTATTACCGGTGGCTCCTCACTGTCCACCATCTGATGCCAGCAGCCTACTTCCCACTGTGGCTGGAGCTGGCAGCCCACGTGTACTCAGGGGTCCAGCTGTCCCCGCCTGTGCTCCCCTGATGTGAGTCCATCAGCACCACTGTGTTTGTAGATCATGCCCCCTGAGCAAGGTGGCTGCAGAGGGCAGGACCACTGCACCTGAATGTTCTGCTCTGTGTGCAGGAGTCCACGTGAGCCACTCAACCCCGTGAGCGCTCAATCAATGTTAGTTGGGTTGAGACACATTGAATTCAGTGGGTCTTTACTGAGCACCCACTCCGTGCCAGATGCTGTACCGGGCACCAAAGGGAAAGAGACAGTGAGAGCAGCTCCTGTCCTGAGGAGGGGTCAGGGAACTGCCCACGTGGGCCCTGTGGTGCTGTACTGCCAGGCACCTCCCTGGACCCACCAGCGGCACCTCTCATGGGAGTGAGCTTCACTGTCATCACCATTCCTTCTCCAGGGTTTATGGAGCGCCTGTCATCTGCTGGACGTGGTGGGCAGTGGAGTGGCGGTGGTGGGTACAGCTTGGTCCTGGGTCCCTGCAGGGAACCTGGACAACAAAGCAACAGTGACACAATAATGTGACATACTTCTCTTGCCAGTGGTTCTCGGCCGGGCACTCCAAAGATGTGCTCACACCGAAACGTGTATTCAGTGACAGCCTGGTCTGTACCCTCTGCCCTGCATGACTCGATCAATCAGGCTATTGATTAGCCTGACCTGTGCACAAGAGCAGGAATGATGCTGGTTACTGCCCAGGGACGAGGGAGGACTCTATGTGGCCAGTTCCACCCCTTCCTACCTAGTCTGAGTCCCATGGTCCTGAGCCCCTAAGTTCCATCCTCTCTCTGAGGACTCCTCTGCTTGGGGGATTCCCTATGCAGGGGCTGGAAAGAACTTGGCTCTCTAAGGAGAGCTAGTCCCTCCCTCAAGTTCAGCACGTGGGAGGGGTGTGGAGTGGGGTGTGGACAGTGAAGCTGAACAGTGGATTCGCCCTGGGGACTGAGAAGAGGAAAGCCAGGCTTGGGATTTGAGGCAGGAAGCGGGGAGGTCCCCATGAGGGCTGCTCCACCCTGCCGTCCTGTGACTTTGGTGTCACCTCTGTGTCCCCACGCAGGTTCCCTGTGGACACCTGTGCATGGTGGCATGTTGATGGCCCTGTTCAATGCTCACCGAGCTCTGCCCGGCCTTGGACCCAGCCTGGGGACTGTTCTACTGGACAGCACACCCAGTGCTCGTGGACATGTGCCCAGGGTGATGGCTCATAGTCAGGGGCAGGACAAGGCACTGGGGTGGGGGAAGTGACTTCTCTCCTCTTGCCTCTTTACCTCTGGACTTTACTGATGGGCAAAGTAGCCTCTGCATTCCCTAGTTCATGGTTGAGACTCCGTGGCTTGCCATCTGTCGCTGTCGGGAGCGTCGAGCAGACCGGGCAGTGCTCAGGGCAGACTGTGAGACCAGAGGGTCCTTAGGGATGACCCTGCAGAGAGCAGGGCTGGAAGGGCACCAGTGCCACCTCTTCATCCGACAGCAGAGAGGACAAGGCTCGGACACAGGACATGACCCACTCATCAGCAGAACATGTGGAAGAGGCGTGTTCTATGTTCTAGTCTGCCCGTCAGCCAATACACATGTAATAGGTGTGTTTTATATTCCAACCTGATTGACATTCAGCACACAGGTAACAGTCACGTCCCATGGTCCAGTCTGCCCATAGGCCAGCACACACGTAACAGCCACATCCCATGGTCCAGTCTGCCCAGACACCAGCACACACGTAACAGCCACGTCCCATGGTCCAGTCTGCCCGTAGGCCAGCACACACGTAACAGTCACGTCCCATGGTCCAGTCTGCCCAGACACCAGCACACAGGTAACAGTCACATCCCATGGTCCAGTCTGCCCAGACACCAGCACACAGGTAACAGTCATGTCCCATAGTCCAGTCTGCCCAGACACCAGCACACAGGTAACAGTCACGTCCCATAGTCCAGTCTGCCCAGACACCAGCACACAGGTAACAGTCACGTCCCATGGTCCAGTCTGCCTAGACACCAGCACACATGTAACAGGCATGCTCTGTGTTCACACTCTACCAACCATCATACCTGTAATAGGCATGTTCCGTGTCCCAGCACACATGTACACCTTAGTCTCCAGACTGACACCATTGCTCTTTAGCACTCTGGAGAGGTCCTTGACAGCACATTTTCCCAATGCAACTTTCCTTTTGATTTTCTGACTGCTGGTGCCAAGAGTGTTAATTGTGGAGCCAAACATGATTAAATCATTAACAACCTCATTCTTTCCCCATTGATCATGATACTGCCTATTGGTCCAGTGGTGAGACTGTATTTTCTTGATATTGAGATGTAATCCATACTGAAGTCCGTGTCATTATGCAGTAAATGCTTCAAGTCCTCTTCAGTTTCAGCAGGTAAGGTTGTGTCATCTGCATAATGCAGGTTGTTGATGAGTCTTCCTCCAATCCTGATGCCACATTCTTCTTCATACAGCCCAGCTTTCTGAATGATCTGTTTTGCATATAGATTGAAAAGACATGGAGAAAGGATACATCCCTTATGCACTCCTTTCTTGAGTTTGAACCATGCAGTGTTCCCTTGTTCTGTTCAGACAATAGCCTCCTGGTCCAGGTGTAGGTTTTGCATGAGCCCCATCAAGTGTCCTGGGATTCCCATTCTTCTCAGTGGTAGCCATAACTGGTTGTGATCCACGTATCCAAATGCTTTTGCATAATTCATTAAAGATATATACATCCTTCTGGTACTCTGCTTTCAGCCAAGATCCATCTGACATCAGCAAGGATACCCCCCAGCAACAGCCTCTTCTAAACCCTGTTTATATTTCTGGAAGTTCTTTGTCAATGTCTTGTTCTAATTTTTTTAAATCTTCAGCATGATTTTGCTTGCATGTGATATTAATGGTTGTTGTTGTGTATCATTGAGTCAGAACTGACCCATGACAGCCTCCACACAGGAGGAGATTGCCCATCCTTCCACAAAGCAGCTGGTAGATTCAAACTGTTGGCCTTTGGGAATGCAGCAAAGATGCTTAACACTAGGCCACCAGAGTGCTATTGTTTGATAATGTCCACATTCTGTTAAATCACCTTTTTCTTTTTAGGAATGGGAATAAATGTGGATGTCTTCCAGTCAGTTTGCCAGGTATCTGTCCTCTGGATTTCTTGGTACAACTTTGTGAGCACATCCAGGGTTTCATCTATTTGTTGAAATATGCCAGTTTGTATTCCATCAATTCCTGGCACCATCTATTTTTGCCAATTCCTTCAGAAACTTGAACTTTCTCCTTTATTACCATTGGTTCTTGATCATATGCTATTTCCCAAATCAATGCCTTTTGTGGAACTAGAGAAGAGTATTGAACATACCATGGACTGGGAAGAGAACAAACAAGTCTGTTCTGAAGATTGTGAAACCCAGTTGCTCCTTGGAAACAAAGATTTTAAAATTCTGTCTCAAGTACTTTGGGCATGATTCCAGGAGGGACCAGTCCTTGGAGAGGGACATCATGCTTGGAAGGGTAGAGGGTCAGCATAGGAGAGGAAAACCCTGAAGGACATGATTTGATACTGACTATGGTAGTGGGGTCAAGTGTGTCAGAGAGAGTGAAGTTGGCTCAGGGTAGGGCAGGGTTCAGGGCCATTGTTCATAGGGTCAATATGAGTTGTAGTTGATGGCACATAACAATAACAACAACAACAACCTCTGCTGGATGGCATGAGCAGGGGTTGAGTGAGAATCCCACTGGTCCTGGGCAACTCAGAAATGCTTTCTGCCCTTCGGGGTTGTTTTTTAAATATTGTATTATATTTTGTGTGTGTACTGTCAAATCTGGTCTGACTGGTAAAGGAGGAGGTTGCCCCTCCTTCTCCAGCAGAGCATCTGGTGGATTTGAACCGGGTGCCTCTGGGATTGCAGTGCAGCTTCTTGCCACTAGGCCACCAGAGCTCCCTTCTGCCTTTCAGTTTTACTACCCCTGCTATTCCTCTCCCATGGGTGACCTTAGAGGTCAAGCACCAGGAGAACCAGAAGCGCTAGCTAGACTTAATAAATCAGAATGATTATTATTAATAAATCCAAAGAGTCTAAAAATAAAACTGTCCTTGGATCCTTGGGTCCCTGCATGCTACATCTAGAGTAACACCCTACAAAAGCAGATGATTTAAGTAGGATCCAGAGTCACCTGCCACCGAATGCCCAGGACACAGGGGGGAAAAATCACTCACTCTGCCAAGAAGTATAAGAACAACATGGGTGAGAAAAAACATTGACAGATACCAACATGGAGATGAATTCAGTGCTGGAATTATTGACTAGGGCTTCAAAGAAGCCCTTATAACATAATTCCAAGAAGCAATCACAAAGACTATTGACACAAATGGAATAATAGATAATCTTAGCAAAGAACCAAATGCTAATTACAGAATGGAAAAATATAGTTACTAAAATTTAAAAATAACTGAATGGGTTAAAAGAAAAAGAAAAAACCAACTCCAACAGCATGGTAGAATATAACAGAGGATGACAGTCAGAGACCTTGACTTTAGAATGGTAGAAAGAAAACATTCCATAAGAAAGCAGAGTCATGGGGACTTGTGGGACAGAGTTTGTGTAAGTGGAGTTTCTGAAGAAGAGGAGTCAAAGTAAAAGACTATTTGAAGAAGCAAAGGCTGAAAATGTCCCAAATTTGGTGAAACACAAAAACAGACTCAATGAGATTGATAAACACCAAAAGGATCAATCCAAGAAATACACCTCAAAACAAAACTTTTGAAAACCAGAATAAAGGGGAAGTTTTTGAAAGAGGCACACAGAAAAGATATTTTTCCCTGAAGGTAGATGCCGACCTGAACGACAGCATATTTCTTGTCTGAAACTATGGGAGTCGGAAGGAAGTGGCAGAACAGAACAGCCACAATGAAAGTCTATAAATTTGATGAAAATGCCTTCAGGAATGGAGGGGAAATACATGCATTCTTGAAAGGAAAGCTAAATAAATCTGTGACCATCAGACTTTTCTGTAGAAAAAGGACAAAGGAAGTTCTCCAAGCAGAAAAGGAAGGCTAACAGAGCAGCTTGGATATGCAGACAGGACCAGAGAGCAGAGAAGCTGAAGATGGAGGCAAACGAAAGCCCAAACCCACAGCCACCAGTCCGTTTTGACTCATAGCAGCCTACAGAGCAGAGTGGGACTCCACACAGGTGATCCATGGCTATAGATGTGTGGGAGGAGGGCTCCCCTGCAGTGACTGGGATTTGTACTGCCAACCTTCAGCTGTCCCTCCATTGCTTAGCCTGCAACATCACTGGGGCATCTTAAGTAGAAATAAGGGTGACTTTAAGGTAGAGAGAATAAGGGTAGCAGGGAGCTCTGGTGGCCTGGTGCTAAGAAGCTGTACTGCTATCTCAAAGGCATGAGGTTCAAATCTACCACCTCCTCCACGGGAGAAGAACGGGCAAGCTCCTCCCATGCAATTTGTTGTTGTTTTTGATGTTATGTGTCATCGTTTGTGACTCATAGCGACCTTATGTACAACAGCCCTAAACCCTGCTCTATCCTGTGCCAGTCGCATTGCCTCTGTCACACCCATCCCGATTACCCCAGTCACTGAATCAATCCACCTCATAGAGGGTCTTCCCCTCCTGTACTGTCCCTCCACCCTCCCAAGCATGATGTCCCTCTCCAAGGACCTGTCCCTCCTTACAACATGTCCAAAGTATGTCAGACGAAGCCCCAGAATCCTTGCCTCCAAGGAGTAGCCTGGTTTAACCCTCTCCAGGATGAATCTGTTTTCTTGACAGTCCATGGTACATTCAATACTCTTCTCCAGCACCACAGCTCAAAGGCATCAATTCTCCTTCTATCCTCCCTAGTCATTGTCCAACTCTCTGGTGCATAACAAGTGATTGCAAAGACCATGGCCTGTATCAGAGGCACCTTAGTCTCAAGAGAGACACCATTGCTCTTGAGTACTTTAGAAAGTTCCCTAACAGCAGACTTTCCCATCACAGTACGTTTTTTTATTTGCTGGCTGCTGGTGCCAAGGGTGTTGACTGTGGAGTCAAGCAGATTAAAGTTGTTAACAATCTCAATCTCTTCGCCATCCATCCTGATGCTACCAATTGGTCCAGTGGTGAGAAGCTTTGTCTTCTTGACATTGAGCTTCAGTCCATACTGAAGGCTGCAGTCCTTGACCCTCTGCAGCAAGTGCTTGAGGTACTCCTCAGTTTCAGCAAACAGGGTTGTGTCATCTGCATAACACAAATTGTTAATAGATCTTCCACCAATCCTGATGCCACACTTGCCCAGCCTCCGGGATAATCTGCTCTGCATACAGGTTGAAAAGGTATGGAGACAGGATGCATCCCTGGCGCACACCCTTCCCAATTTTGAACCATGCAGTGTTACCCTGCTCTGTTCTGACGACTGACTGCCTCTTGGTCCAAGTATAGGTTTCGCATTAGCACGATCAAGTGTTCTGGGATTCCCATTCTTCTCAGAGTCAGCCACAGTTTGTTATGATCCACACAGTCAAACACCTTTGCATAATCATTGGAACACAGATAGACATTCTACCTCTTAAAACTCAGAGGTTTTTCGGAAAAACCTGGAAGGTCAACCATTTTCTCAGAAAACCCTGGAGGGTCAGCTATGGGTCGGTTCCAACTTGATGACAAACAACAGTAACAGGATAGCTCACCTTTTTTCATGAGCTTCTTAAACCATAGCTGAGATTTAAGGAGAAGTTGGGACACCATTGGATGGGGATGCCCAATATGGACGGAACGTACTTGAGACAAGTGTATTTAAGGGTGAGGAGAGCAGTGTCCTCCGTGAAGCTGACACTCTCGCTGGATGTGACTTCATATTGATGTGACCTCGTGGCAGCTGGACATTGGGGTTTTTAAAGCTTCTTGGGTGACAGCAGTGTGCAGCGGGGGTCAGCAAAGAAGGTCATCTACAGCCTTGAGACTCTAGGGCAGCAGTGTTTAAACTTTAGTGGACATAAAAATGACCTGAAAGGCTTCTGACCGCAGCTCACTGGGTCCAGCCCCAGAACTCAGACACAGTCATCTAGAGGGGACCAAGAATCCCCCCAACACTGTGTGACCCTGCTCTGGGCCTAACCAGTTCAGAAAGGTGGGGACAGGGCTCATTCTGGAGATGCTGGGGCCTCAGCCTGTCCTTGAATGCAGGGTCCCAGGGTGCTGGCCCTAGAACAGCAGGCCAATTTTGGGGTGTCATGCCCCTCCTTGGCTTTGTCCTCAGCCGTCTCCCAGGGGTGAGTCAGGACATGACCATGCTCTTTGGGGGGCTCTATGTGTTACCTTCCACTTGCCTGAGTCACAGCGCCCCGCTCAGGCCTCGGTTGTCCAGTCTGCACTCCCCCTCTGTGTGTGACAAAGCTGTGATGTGTCTGTTTCAGGATTCCCCTGTTCCAAATCTGACTCTCTCCCCCGGCATGGGAAGAACAGCCTGGACCACCAGGTAGGTGCTCACCCTTGGTACACACAAGTCAAAGCTCAGAGCAGGGGCTGTAGGGACCCCCTACCCCTCAGAGCCGGGGGCAGAGGCCATGAGATCCTGTGCCTCGGCCGTGTCTGACCTCCTGACACAACTAACCTCATCTGGTCTATGCATGGCACATCCTGACCAAATGACTGGGAGCAGGAGCCGTGAGAACCCCGTGTCCCTGCCCTGCCAGAACCCCAGCATGTGATACTGTCCATCACCAGGGCCTGCACATGGCAGCCAACCACACAGCTGAGAGCGAGAGGCTGTGGAGACCCCATTTGTCCACCTACCTGGCCTGACTACCACCCAAGGTGACAGCTGCCACCCCGCTTGTACATGGCAAGGCCAGACCAGAATCCATTGACACCATGCCCTCCTTCCCCCAGTCACACCAGAGCTCAGTGAGGAGAGCACCCCTAGAAGCACCAGGCCCCAGGGCCCCTCCCTGGCTCTTCTCTGTACGCCGTGCAGAGCTGTGTGACAAGGACCTGAAGGGGCTGCTGTGATTAGTGAGGTGATGTGAACCAAGCATCCACTGCCTCCCTGGGATTCCCTGGCCACGACTAAGCTCTGCTGCCACCAGGTCCACTCAGCAGCCCTGCAGGACAGAGTGGAGCCCCCATGGCGTTCCGAGGCTGTAACCTAAGCAGAAGCAACACCAGCACCTTTCCAGGTGACGCCACTGAACGCTTAACCAGGGCATCACCGGGGCATCATGGCCCATTCCAGCTTGATTCCAAATCCCAGCAGCTCTCAGGACAGAGGAGGCGCTGGGAGGTGTCCATGCAGCAGTCTTTCCGGAAGCTGGTGCCTGTTTTTCTCCCACATCTTTAATTCTGTGCTTGCAGCAGCATCCCTGCCCCCATCAGCGATAAGAGGTTCACGTGGTTCCGGCAGCTTCCGGAAGTCCCCCTGTCCAAATCTGAGCCCTGAGAGTCATGGCCCTGAGGTTCCCCACCCTGCTTTGGGGGGCCATGCACTAGGACTGGGACAGGTCACCCCTAGAGAAGATCTTTTGCCCCGTGTCCCATGGTTCACCTGCCAGTGAAGGACCCTGGTCCCCAGCGTGGGACCAAGTCAGCAGTAGCCTGGCCCCTCTGAGACAAACCATTCCAGCCTGAGGAATTTGCCAGAAACTCTAGCAGTTCACCCTCGGGGGGGCGCTGACAATGGGGTCAGCTATGAGTCAACTCTGATCCAAGAACAAGAGAGTAAGAGGGAGGTGGTTGGACAGAGAGGGAGGTGGTTGGACAGGGAGGGAGATGGGGGACAGAGAGGGAGGTGGGGGGACAGGGAGGGATATGGGGGGACAGAGGGAGGTGGTTGGACAGAGAGGGAGGTGGTTGGACAGAGGGAGTTGGTTGTACAGGGAGGGAGATGGTTGTACAGGGAGGGAGATGGGGGGACTTAGAGGGAGTTGGGGGGACAGAGAGGGAGGTGGTTGGACAGAGAGGGAGGTGGGGGAACAGAGGGAGGTGGTTGGACAGAGAGGGAGTTGGTTGTACAGGGAGGGAGATAGTTGTACAGGGAGGGAGGTGGGGAGACTGAGAGGGAGTTGGGGGGACAGAGAGGGAGGTGGCTGGACAGAGAGGGAGATGATTGGACAGAGAGGGAGGTGGGGAGGCAGAGAGGGAGGTGGGGGACAGAGAGGGCGGTGGGGGGACATGCTTTGATATTGTCTTTAGATGCTGTGGAATCAGCTGTCACTCCTAGCAACCCATATCACTAGCAGTGCAGACCCCTAGAGCCCCGCATCCCTAGAGCCATTCACCCCTAGAGCCCCCACCCCTGAACCCCACGAACAGACTGGCCTGCTCCTTCCCCTTCCTCTCCACATTTGAGCCATTGCTGCAGCCACTGTGTCTGCCCATCTTGTGGAGGACCTTCCTCTCCCTCACTGATCCCCCCTCTCTTTCACTGACCCCCCTCTCCCTCACTGACCCCCCTCACTGACCCTCCTCCTTCGCTGACCCTCCTCTTCCTCACTGACCCTCCTCTCCCTCACTGACCCCCCTCTCATTCACTGACCCCCCTCCCTCACTGACCCTCCTCTCCCTCACTGACCTCCCTCCCTCACTGATGCTCCTCTCCCTCACTGACCCCTCCTCCTTCACTGACCCTCCTCTCCCTCACTGATCCCCCTCTCTTTCACTAACCCCCCTCTCCCTCACTGAACCTCCTCTCCCTCACTGACC